ATATGCTCATTTGATTGTATAGCTCTTGCTAGGAATATGGAACTGTGCTCTTATGTCAGTGCTTCTGACTTAGAATCTTATCTTTCTTACCTATATTTTCTTTGTACTTGTTTTTGTCTGCAATATGGAAATTCTTTCTCAGGATAACACATCCCTTACCATTTAGAGCCTATTGCTGCCAGAACAGGCAGATATAGCATATATAAGAAGTAGTGCGATAAGGAAAATTAAAACGAACTCTTAAAACTCCTAAACTTAGGAAACAGTAAGACTGACGAAATACTTGTTGGCTGTTCTGGACGAGGAAAGTTCAAAGAGAAATGTTCAATAGGATAAGCAGCACGTTGTGGAATGTATATGAAACGAAAAGACGAGCACTCTCTGTTAAAATCTCTGGGAATTACAGCTGTTTGTCCTTGCCAGGTACACAATAAGGAGTTGGGAAGACACGCTGGAGGACTAGCAACAGCCAAACAACACCAGCCCATGCCCTTGGTGGGGGGTTGTTATGAGTGACAGGCTTTCTACCCTGAGCTTTAGCCTAAATTATTTGAAGTCAAACGTGGCATTTCAATTCCATTGTACATGGACTGGATGTGAACTAGTGCTAGCTTGTGGAGGCTGATGCAAGTTAACTTTGAGCCATCTCACTGGCAACAAAAGGGACAATGCCTTACCTACAGGTTGGTTGGTTGGTTTGTTTAGGTACACTCTGTGTTGAAGACAAAGGCAGAAGTTCCCCATATTATAAAAGACTTCCACTCCTCTCTTGACATTACAAATACATTTGATAACAACTAATATTCCACCACACATTTCTTGCATATTTATATGAAAGAATCCAGCCACAAAATAAATACATTGTGAAAGGAATCAGAATTGTTTTCTTAATAGTAATTACACGAGACATTTAAATGCTTAGACTGCACTCCTTGTTTCAGGAACTTCATGACATAATTAACTTTAATAAAAACAGATCTACCGTAAGTACAGTTTTGAAGACATCCGTATCCAGATGGCTGATATTTCTCCCCCATTCCCTCCTCCAGGAGTCCCATTATTAATGTTCCCTTAGATATGATACACTAAGAAAATATTCCATATAGTTTAATGAAAGAAAAAAAAAACCAACTTCTAATCAATGACTTACCTTTAAGAGAGCCAAGGCTACATGGAAGATTATGTTCATACCCTGAAAAAGAAGAAGAAAAACACTTCAATCAGTCCCAGCATACAAATCTCTCTCCTCTGTTACTTATCACTACGCAGCATCATAACCAGATGCTGCAGATCTCTAGGGAATGCCTCTCTTTTCCCTGCTACACTTCAAAGTTCATCATTAAAGCCCCAAGGTACAGTTTCCAAACTCCTGGCTGGGGAAGATGATGGCTCTTAGGAGCTTTTGGAATCTCACTGTTCCATCAGTCAAGTGCGAGGGATGTGACAGGATATCCCTCCACCGCTTCAGCATCTGTCAGTGCTGCTTTTCATGGACAGTACAGAATACTGTAACCAGCAGGGCACCAAGAAAATGTAATAAATATTCTAGCTGATAGGATTTTTGCCTAGTAACTGAGCTTAGCTGTGATTAATCGTGTACAATCTTTCATGCTTACACTGCAAAAAAAACCAAAAATAAAGCAAAAAAACCCCCACAAGTACAAAATACACCTTTTATGCTGTTATCAGCCAAAAATCAAAACTATTTCACAGGTAAGGAAATTGATGTCTGTATGAAATAGTCTGCTTTCTGGTTTGCAAAAGCTGGAAATGCAAGTGTACAGAAATCTATTTAGTAAATAATACAATGGCAATGTCCCATTATTTAAAAATCAAAGAAAGTAAAACCCACTCTACTGACTGACTACAGAGGGCTGAGAAAGGCTACATTTCCACTTCTGTTTTATCTGAAAATGTGAAAAAGCATTCCTCTGCTTTTATTCAACTTTTTATTTTCACAATCAAGATGTTGAGACTTTCCCAGTGGGAAGGGGAACACGTACCCTGGATGAGGCTCCTGTGGAGCAGCCTGACTCAAACTCCCCTTGGGGGTCCTGCTTGGAAACGTAGCCAGGGGCAGCTCAGGCCAGGGGACACAAGCCGACACACGTTTTGCTGGCAGTGCACACATTGCCTGCGCTGAGGGAGGAGGCTCTCCTCTCTGCAGCCTACATATCTCGATGATTTAAGATTATAAATAGCTTTGTGTTCAGCCCAATATGAAAAATACCATATGCAATTCTCATTTGCTGTACTATGTACTTTGTGTGCAGACTGTTTTCCGAGATTAGATTTTATAAATCTTCTTGCCTGCTTGTTTAATGGCATGATAAATCTTTTCTTATAATGAGTCTTTCAGAGCTCGTATCTAAAAATGTCTCAACAGATTTGCACACAAGTAATGCTGTCACTGCAATACATGTAATTGTGGGATAACAACAGGACTTTTGTAAGGGAATCTTCTCCAAGAAATTTCAGCTCCTGCAACTGAGCATTTTTCCAAGCCTCTTCCTGAAAGCCTGAGACCATATTTCTATAAAAAATAGCTTTTATAAAAATCTGCAGAGACTTTTCAGAAGCATTCTTAGGAAGCAATAGTATTATTTTTTTTATATGGATAGCATGATGCCTTGAAGGGATTCTACCATTAATGAGGCTTGGAAATGCTACTACATCAGCCCTAATGAATATTGCAACACACCATGAATTCCTTTGCAGCTCGATGTGTAGTCATTATGATAACTGGCTGTTTCCACTAGAGGTCACAATTGTAGCAGGACTGAACCTTGCTTCATTGATAAGAAATGTTTCTTCCAAACGTGCTAACAAATATTTTACATACAATTAAAGTTATTTTGCTTTTTATATTTTAATTTAATAGGAAAAACGTCTGGCAGTGAATTTCAGTCACGACACTGATAATTTACTGCTGCTGGTGCTCTAGTGTTAAGTTCATAGTACTCTGTTTTATCCCAAACATCAGTCTGAAGCAACAATCCATTCTACACAGTTGTAACATTAACAACTTTTATTTCCTAACAGAGAGGATTTGACATGAACATACAACGTACAAATGAGAGCCATAACTACAAGCCATCGCAAACACTGTGTTTTCTTTTTAACTCACTGTCTGATTTGATTTTGTTAGTTTATGACTAAGACTGTTACATGCACTCATGGGATTACTGAGCGATTAGTGTCCTGTGTATTTTCTGGCACTACCAAAAAAACCCTAAAAATAAAACCAAACCAGTTTTCATTTATTTTCTAAATAATTTATTTTTTTTTCTGACCTGCCCAAAAGTCACATTGTTCTTGAATTCAAACTAATGAAATTCTCTCCTGGCGCTCCTCTTACATGATCTCTCTTCGCAAGCATGGCAGAACAGCTTTCCTCCTGCCTGGTCCCCAGCTCTTCTTCTAGACCCACCAGGCAAGGGGCAGCTCACAGACTCCCTCATGTCACTTGAGATAACCTGTTCAACACACAAGTGCCCTAAAATCCGAACCCCAAAAGGACTTAAAAACTTTGTACACAGCTGTCCTGAGCAGCACTCCACTACTCCCGGCAACGGAGAACAATCTGCACCTTCCTCTTTCCTCAGAGGCAGAGTAACCCCCAACCCAAGGCAGTATTCTAGACCTGAGGCATCAATCGCTGCCGCTACACGCTGAGCAGCTTGGACTCTCTGGACCTGAAGGACTAACACCCGCTGCCAGCTGCATGAATTGGAGGTGGCAGCTGGCACCCTACAGTGAGGCTTCTCCTCATGCTTGGATTTACAGCAAGGTGCCTTACCCACCCATTTTACCAACACATTTTATAGCCACTGATCTACACACTTATTTTTTCCTAATGCATGCAATACTATTCTGACATAGACAAGTTTAATTATTATGATTATGAAAAAGAAGGCTCAGCTCATTTTCCCACAATCCCTTATTTAAAATCTTACTCAATTTACCACACACTGATTTATAAGATTCAGCTTAAACTTCTCCATCTATTTTAGAAGAGGGACCAAAAATACCAGTGTGCACCAGACATATAAATCATTGCTAGCACTATCCCTCCAGCAATTTTATAATGGAACCATGAAAGTAGATAAAAACCATCCACAGAGAAAAAAAATATTAAATAAGCTTTGGATAATTACTTTTTAAAATCAAAGGTCATATGTTTAACTAGGCATTTGGAAATAAACCATTTAAGAAATTTGCAAATGTGAAAGTTGTTCATAATTCTCTAAACACTTGTGGTTTGTAATCTACAACAGCCAAAACTAAAAATACACACTATTACTAAACAAGAACTGCTATAAGAGCACAGGAATGGTTAAGAGATTATCATCATGTCATATTGCTTCTCGGTTATCCAGCCACTCTTGTTTTTCAACCCGAGAGGCTTTGCTGCTACTGAGTAGATGAAGGAAGAGTGTGCAGCCTGCGCAGCCCGCAGACGTCAAGCCCACAGGCAAGGATCCCAGAAATGAGGTGTGTGGATATCCTCCTCCAAGGAGCTGGTACCTATCCTGTTGCAGACGGCCAGCAGTTTCTATGACAGCCTGTCTTAGAGGCTCATCTGCCTAGTTAAACATCTGCACAGTATCTTCTTTCTTCCAACAGGTGGTATTTAAGAACCCTCCTAAGCTCGCGTAGAGCCCTAGAGCATTTCAGCAGATCCCACTGAGCTCAGGAGTTCTGCAGAAGGAGCAAGCCCATCTCAAAGCAGACAACTCTTGACTATTCTGCAATCAAGATGACAAGACAAGGGTCAGGAAAGGGAAAATTTCAGAGTTTGTGCTGTCGCACAGCCCCCGTATGGCTCCTGCCAACTGCCATGCTGACCGTTCTCTGCGGAGAACAAACAGAATGGTAAAGATCTGATTTTGTAGGATTCAGTTTGTATTCAATGAGATCTCTGCGACAGAAAGGAGCTTGTGGCTTCCTTTAGAAGGGTGGAGGCACATTTATCCATCTGACCCCAAAAATCTACCCAGCAACCCGAAAAAAGGGAGTTAAGGGGGCAGCAAACTAACTCATGCTACTGGCAAAGCTCAACAGCAAAGCATGGAGCTGGCAGAAGAGTGAGGCCAAACAATTTAACCATGTAGTATCTGGACAACATTTGCATAGGGGACAACTTTGGAATTTATCTCCTGTTGTAAAGCGCTTCTTTAATGACAGAAGCCTTGTGAGAAGGCAGGCTGTAGTAATACCAGCATCTCCCCCCTCCAACCCAGACCACCTGCCAGACCTTCCTCAGGCTATACGGCAACGCCCTCTGCCCCATTTCCACCAATAAAAGGAAGCCAATCTCTTCAAAAACGTATGGAAAATTATTTTAATATTAGTCTCCTTATCTACGGTTTTGCTCCTAGATACACATAACATCTAGGAGGAAACAGTGAAGGTATTGAGACAATACTCTCTGAAGGTCAGCACCAGGTGAAGAAGAAACATGTGAAAGTCAACTGAGCACCTCCTTGAGGTCTGAGAAGTCTCAAGACTCACACGACATGCTGTCAGGACAACCAGTTCCAGCTTTCTAATAACTAATTTTTTTTCCTTTTTTTAAAGAGAGATTAGCTCTTCAGCTGAAGTTAATTTGACATTGTTTTGTAATTCGAAAGTGTTTCATAATTATGTGTTCAGTTGCAGACTCTTTCAAAGGAGCTACAGAGGGTAATTGGGGTTACACACTCTAAAGGAGAATTAAAATCCTATTTATGTTTTGGATTGCTTCCAGCAACACATTTGTTTGGCAACTCTAAAATGTTGAGAGCACACAATAAAGTTTAGGAATGTCACAAATGTGCTTCTTTTGCTGACAACAGAGATGTATGGTCTGAAGTACAAATTTCTCTTTGTAAGTAACGCAGACTTGGAGCACGCTCTGCAGGGATACGCATGTTAATTAACATCTACTCAGATATCGTTTGCATAGCTTGTACATTCATTCCAGTTCAATGACAACTGAGGAAAAGAAAGGTTAACTCATCCAAATGAGGCACACTATAGAATAACAAGCTTTGTATGAGCAACAGATACAGCTTTCTTACTAAACAGTTATATTAGAGAGAAAAAAAAAAAAAAAAGACAAAGCAATTTGCATAGAGATTTTACTGCTAACGTATGAGGTATAGTCGACTTCTTAGGCTGGGCTTCCCCCAGTGACTATACATTGCCGAC